CCACTTGGGCTAGGGTTTTCCCCTTTACCTCTCTTTTGTTTTTTTTAAAATAAGGCTCACTTACCCAATTACTTTTTGTTAAAACAAAACAAAGCCCACAAACAAAAAATTAGAATCCTATTTCCAACCTCCTTAAGTCTAATTATATCCCATAATAGAATTAAGTAATTGGTCCAACGACCTAGGACAAAAGCCAAAGAAGTGGACTCCTCGTTAAACAATAATTAAATGAGTACATACACGTCAATAAATCACAACAATTTTCGTAGCAGCTCAAAATAAAATTAAATGAAACATTTAAATTAAATTAAAAAGATTTCTAAGAAAAGAAGCCCCGAGACTCGAGAGTAACCTAACCTGAGTAACGCGGGGCGTTACAAGATACGTGTCTGAATGTTTCGCATCTCTGTGGGTTGCGAACTGTGCCACAAAGACTTTCCTCAACTGCTTCCAGCTCGCAACTGAGGATAAGGCCAGCAAACGGAACCACTTTCTTGTTGGTCCTTGCAGAGTAATAAAACATGCTCTACATTTCATCGTGTCTGAATAGGCGTAGAAGTCCACTATGGATTCATAAGTCTCGACATGCTCAATTGGATCCTTTGTCCCGTTGTACTTGTCGAAGGTCGGCAAACGACTCTTCTGATAAATAGGTGCATCCAGGATGGCCTGGACAAACGGAGGTTCCTTCGATTTGTAATCTTCGGAGGTCGGTTTACCGGCCTTCTTCAAGTCTCCTTTCGATTCACTAACCAGCTCTCTCTTGAGCTGGTCGGAACTGCATCTGTAGTCTCTCTAGGACTGCTCGTATCGGAACTGGTTTCGTCTTGCGAGCATGAGCTTGTGTCTTAGGTTTTCTCGAGAGTGGAGATCGATCCACCTCCTTCCCAGGCTTGCCATTTGGCAGGTTGGGATCTTCATCTCCATTGTTTCTGGAATGGGAACCGTTGCCTTAAGCCATTGTAGAGTTACAAAAAGCTTTATATGTCAGTTCCCACAGACGGTGCCAAATGTTAATGTTGTTTTCCGTCGAGCTCACAAGTCGGTCACAAGTTGACATAGACAAGCTGCCAAAATGATCCTAAATGAACCTGCATAGGAAACAAACACTCTAACGCCCAAGTCAGTTGCGACATCGAGTTGTATTAGGTCGTTCTCAGAGGAAATAGCATACCTAAAACTTAGATGAAGTGTCCCTTTAATATAGGCAGGTGGGGGAGACAAGGCAGTTAGGTCTATTCCGACTGGGGGTTATGGCTGTCGGGCCCCCTAGGTCAGGGGTTGGACCTGAAGTCGGGTTCCTCAAGTCGGTTGATATCTTTACTTCATATCAACTCGGTACGGGTCAGGTTAGTGGGTACCGAGGGTCCCTTTTATGTCTTCTGATGACTCCAAATAAATGCTTACACGTGTTCAATCTGATTTTGACCACCAACAAGTCCCACAAGTCTAAGACAGGAATTTAAATCAATGGATCCCCTGAACAAGACCTCAAAGACTAAGGTCTATTAAGTCGACTAGCTCATTAGTCATACACTAAAGGTTGAGATCCACAGGCAGGCTAGGACCAAAGGACTAAGTCCTATGGGCTGATTGAGCCAAGGCCAATCTACCTTTAGGCTAACCAACACAAGAGCTGCTACTCACTATCTGGTTGGTCAACCCAAGGGCAGGAGGCAAACGAATTAACCAAACTAGTTTAGGTCGAGATCCAATGGCATTCATGATCAGTACAATGATTTCCTCAATTATTGATTAATCGAACTCGCGAATACAAGTTCCCTAGATTTAAGGAATTCAATAAACAAGTCCATGACTAAGGAATATACAGTTTTCCTCTTCAATAAATAGAGAGAGAAATCTCATGTTTAAGGAACCCTACAAAATCCTAATTATTGATACGCTTCATTCAAACACAGTTGTTGATATTTGCATCAATCTTCACGAATAAAATGAATCGACGAAACCTACAAAATAAAAGGATTACACCTCGGTGTGATGCTAGCCACACACACTCTGATGCTTAAATCAAAATTGGAGTTTTATGTGAAGCGTAACAAAGAATAGAGTTTCATAGCATACCTTCAATTATAAGTATTTCCCTTCTATTTATAGAGGGAAGATCCTAAGATGTTCAGGATATCTTTTTCTTTTGAATACGACATCTTCTTGAAATATACCATACCAAGGTTATATCAGGATATCTTATCTTCCTTAGATAAAAGGAATTCAAATGGTAAAAGTAATTCAACTGGCGTGTATTGCTAGTACACACCCATGATGTAATTCTATTTTACATGTTCGATCGAATTTCTTTATTGAAGAAGATCGGTACTAATTTGATCATCCAACTAAAATAGAATTTCTACCTCAACAAAAATAATCATAGAGGATGATGTAGCATATTTTTAGGCTTTAAAAATGTAGCATATTTTTACGGTTTAGCAAATGTAACCATTGATATACTTATAATTTATTTTATATTTATCATTTTCTTTAAACTAGTATCTTAGCACATGCTTTCCACGATGTACTTTAATTTTTTAATCTAAGTGAATAGTTGTTATTATAATTACTTTAAATAAACATGTTTTTAATAAACAAATCTTTTCATACTCAAACATGATCAATTATATTGTAATGAATTATATGTGTGTATATATTTACCTTTTACCAAAGTTCATGACCAATGAACAACGGTCAACACATGAGCTCAGTGGTAATTGACACCTCCGACTAAGAGGTCGTGAGTTCAAATTCTCCACTCCCACTTGTTGCAGTAAAAAAGAAAAGACCACTAAATAACGTTATTCTGAAAAACTGAATGTAATCTAGTGCAGTAATTAAGAAATCTTAAAAATTAAAAATAGAAAAGTAAAAACAATAATAAAATAAAAGTTGAAGAAGAAGAAACAAACAAACCTCAAATAATTGTGTGTTGGAAATGATTGGTTGAAAGGAAGGAAAGGACGGAAGAGGTTTTAAAAATGTTGAGATTCTAAACTTTTTTAATATTCTTTAATTAAACACTATTAATGGAAATCTTTTTCATAAAATCAATAAACATACATGTATATTATAACTGAAATGCGGGCAGTGTGAGAATATCAAGTAAAAGAATGTTAAAGATCTCTAGATGTTTAAAAACATTATTATTCTTTGGTTAAAAAAAAACATTATTCCTCTATTAAAATAAATATATTTATAATAAGCAAATTTTTTAATATTTAAATATGATCAATTATGATATTCTAATAAATTGTGTAAGTATGTTTACCTTTCACCAATGTTCAAGACTACAAACAACGTTGTTATGAGAGATAAAAGTCAAAACAATAATAATAAAATAAAAGTAGAAGGAGAATAAGAATAAGAAAAAAAGAAATCGAAACCAATCTCAAGCTATTGTGTTAGAAATAGATGGAAGAGAGTTCTTTTTATAGTTGAAAGTTGAAAGGGATGAAGAAGTTTAAAAATTTTGAGATCCCACCGCTTTTAATATTTATAATTAAACATTATTAAATAATGATGTAAAAATCTTTCCTATGGAAAAATCAATGCTAATAGAATTTCAAGAGACAAACACTATTAAATAATGATGAGAGAATTTTTCACATCCTAACTTTTTAAATACAAAATAAAATGAATGTAAATAGAATTTCAAGACACAGTCCAATTAAACATGTTTAATTATATAGAAGTGTTAAAATTAAAAAAAAAAGTCAAGAATTTAATAAAATTAGAATTTCCCGACAAAGGGATGAAGTTTGCGAAGTTTCTTTTAAATGTCAAAATTGGGGAAAATGAAAAGCTTTTGTATGAATTTTATAAAGAAATGAGGTTGGGTAGATTGAATAGTGGATGTGGATAATGAAAGGGGTTAAGAATGAGTCTTTTTTCTTTTTTTTTTATTTTATTTTATAGATTGCTTTCTACTTTTATATTCTACAACTTCTATAATATTCTATAATTAAACATTATTAAATAATGATGAGATAATTTTTCATATTCTAATTTTTTAAATGTAGAACAAAATGAAAATGCAAATAGAATTTCAAAAAAACAAAGTAGTTTAAAAATGTTTAATATCCACCGAAATATTAAAAAAAATTATGAAATTAAAACTTCAGGCAATATTTAATATCTATTACAGTGTTAAAAAAAAGTGAAAAAAAAATTATGAACTCACAACATAGAAGTGTTTAAAAAGAAAGAAAGAAAAAAATGAAAGCAGTGTTTTATTAATTAAAAAAAATGAAATCACAACATGTTTAATATCTATTAAAAAAAAGTAAAAAAATTAGTGAAAGCACTCGTGGGTAATGTTTATAACCTATAGAAGTATTTAACAATAAAAAAATAAACAAATGAATGAAATCAAAAGCTGCCGACAATGGAGTAAAAAGGGATATACATGATATTTAATAAAATGTTAAAGGTAGTGTTGTCTAAAAAAAATTTCTTCCACCTCCACACTTTCATATATATTATATATATTATAGATATATATATATATAGATGTAGATATGTCCATTATTAAAAGTTTATATTTAGAGAAAATAAATGATTTTTAATAAATGTTGATGGAGTGATTTTCATTGTCATAATTTTTTAGCTAATTATGACTCCAACTTTTCTTTCCTATAGAAATTATGACTCCAACTATACGTTAATGTGACTTGAAAAAGGTTGTACCAAAAGAAACTTTCTTTTCCTCCTCCCTTTTTTAACCACTACATTTATTTGAGCACAAAATAAAAAGGAGGCAATTTTCTCTCTATTCATTTTTTTATTTTATCTTAATTAATATATATATATATATATATGTGTATATTATATATGTGTGTGCATATATATTTTAAAGAGTATGAGGAACTTTCCATTAAGAAAAATTGGCCACGTGGACAAGCATTGAAGAGGTAATATCCTCCACAAGGCTTAATAGCCAAAAGGGAATGTCACTAAGCCGAGAAAGGGAGATACGAGGATGAAAAGAGCTCTTCAATAGGCCATCTGCAGGCTTATTCAATGATCGATAAACATGCACAAATGAGCATGACTCAAAAATAATGGAAAGAAGTTGAATGTCGTGAAGCCAGTCTCCATCAGCACCCAAAGTTTTTGAATCTCCTCGAAAAAGACAAATTGCATCAAGAGAGTTCAACTCAACGATTAAGCGCGAACAAATTACAAAGTGCACCAGTCAGATACCTTCAAGGATAGCAAGGAGTTCAGCCAGAAACAGAGGGTATGGAATCTGAATGGAAACGGAAGGCGATGCCTTAATAAAACCATAAATACTCAAACTAGTGCCTCGGTCTCCATTGCAAGAGGCATCTGTGTTCAATGGGAACAAACCAACAGGAGGCGAGCCCTAAGATTTGGTCTCAATCCTTCCAAATCGACAAACAAATGTTGGCAACAATTTCAAGCTTTTCTTTTCTTMGAGCATTCAAAAGCATCTCCTAGTGGTTTAAAAAAGTTGCGTGCGGTGTTGAAGGAGGGGGAGAAGTAGGAAGAACAAGTCTCTGGATATGCTTAAAGCGTTTACCTCAAAAAGGGCATGGATCAGAGTCTCAAACTTCGAGTGGCAGCAAAGACAAAGGGTAAGACATCCAATCCTTTCCTATGTAAGTTATGCATAGTAGGCGAACATTTGTGATTAGTCCTCCAYAAGAAAATTTTGATTTTTGTTTGGATGTCAAGATGTCATGTAGTTTGCCACAATTTACCGATTAGAACTGTTGGGATGAGGAATAATATTCGGGTTCATAAAGAGTTTGTAGGTGCTTTCAACACTGAAAATACCCCGCTTATCATAACGTCATTGCCATTTGTCCGTAAGGTTTAGGGAACTTAGAGGAATTTTAAGAGCTAGTTCGACATCATCTGGGCAGAGAACTGATGTAAGATGTTGAATGTTCCAAACTCCTCTAGGATGTATAAGATCTGAGAYCAATGAATAGAAGGCGGACTTATGAAACAGCAAAAAGAACGCTCTCTTAGAASTCAAGGATCCGCAAACATCTAGTAGTTTCACCATTTCCAACTCTTTTTCACATAAACTTTGGATGAGAAGGTCATGGTCCTTTAGGAAACTTTTCCAAAAATAGGAAGATTGGGTTGTAGCATCCACTTCAAAGAGAGTAGAATTTGAAAAAGTACTTTGCTTGCAAAACTCTCGAGGTTAATAAGTTTTGGATTCTGAAGGAACATCAAACATCAAACTTGTTTAGCAATTAAAGCTTTGTTAAAACCTTTGAGGCCGCGAAAGTTTAGTTCTCCTARCTATTTAGGCAAGCACATTCTCTACCAATAACTTATCCAATGAATATTTTTGTGCTCATTTGTTGTACCCCACCATAATCGAGAAATATTCAAAAAATATTGTCACATAAACCTTTTAGAAGACAAGAAATACTCATGGCATAGGGAGGGATAGTTTGACCAACACTCTTGATTAGGACCTTCTTCAACCCCTCCCAGAAGAAAAGAAACTCATCTTCCATCCTTTGCATTACCTTCCAAATCTTGTCTTTAAGAAATGACTAATCTTTTCCTTCAAAGACGAGACAATCCAAGATAATTTCGAAAGTCAGTTAACAAGTTGAACTCCAGGAGAATATTGCATAAATAACTTTCTATTAACAAACATACTTCGTAGTTAGAATTATCTTTTACCCGGCATAAACTTAAAATCGGCTTCAAATCAAACTATGTATTTTGTTCRTAAAACATTTTTGATTTAATGATGATTTTTTTGGAAATTCACGGACTTGTATAATTTTYCCTTCCACAGAAAAATATCCAGCAGATTTTTATACTGGTTCACCACTGAGGGCTACGTCCAGTCTTCCATTCAKACGCCCTTGTGCACCCACCAGGACAGTGCCGCGGCACTGCACTTTCGGCCCCCTGGCCTGCAGCATCTGCTTTCTCCTGTTTTCATCCTGCTTCGTTCCCGACGCGTCTCGGCTTGATCGTGGCTCATCCCTAGCTCGTTCATACGTCATTTTGACTCCACCAATCCTAACAGATTTTGGTATTTTGAGGTCACCATAACTTTAGAGATCGAAAGAAAATTCTAACGTCTTTTGAATCATTCCAATAATTGGAGTCAAAATAAAGAAGTTTGGCCAAAAGAAGATTCGGAGAAAACATCATACATGGCTTCATAACATGAACAAGCGGACTAATCATAATTTGACATGTGATAGTCATGTTTGATAATTTTAGGGGAGGAGAGAAAAAAGAAAGAGAATACATCAACACCAGGAATTTGATTTTGATACAAACCTAATAACCTATTTATACTCATAAAATAGTGATCTTTATACTCATAAAATAGTGATCGATCTAATCTCAAATTATAATTCAAACAATATAATCTGAATTATACCTCATTCAAATAACATAATCATAATCTAATAATATAATCTAACATCCCCTCAAAACCAATGATGTGAGTTTATGCCAAAACCAATGTTGAAACCAATAACTCAGATGCTTATTCCAATGCGGATGTCACGAATGCCGATGTCAAATCCAAAAACCAATTCTAAAATAAAACCAAAACTACGAATATCAATGTCAATGTCAAACTAAAACCAAATCCAATGTCAAACTCAAAATCAATTTCAAAACCAAAATCAAATCAAATTCCATCAATCAATACCAATGTCAAAACCAAAACGAATTCCAAAAATACCAATGTCAATTCCAACAACAATCGAGGCAAATTCCAATACAAATACCTACAGCGAGACAAGGAACACCCACTTGTTTAACCCATGTTCATCACAACTCAATCGAATAATCCTCTCCGTCAGCTTCCTCCTTAATAGGGAAGGAGATAAAATGAAGAGAAAACACTAGGGTTCCATTGAATTGAGTTTCATTTTGATACAAACTGTTAAGGACAAYGGTATCYTTCGTACCCCGAGTATCTCCACAATGGTATGATATTGTCTTCTTTGAGCCTCACAAACGCTCCACAAAGCTCTCTCTAGATATCATAACAATGGTCACCTAGCTTTTAAGCACTACGACAATAGCTACTTAGGAATACATGATTAAAAACCTCACTAACCTCGAGAGAACGGACTGCCAACAACACTCTATAAAACCCTTGTTCTTCTTTTTCTTCTGTGCCAACAAGTTGCTRCCGTCACTCCCTATTGTTTCTTCACGACACGGCTAAGCCTATAACTAAATGTTATTAGAAATTTTAAGAGGCAACATTACGAAATGAAGAAAAAGAAAGTTTAGGTAATGGGTCGATTAGCCCATTACATGATTTGGCTCCACTAATAACCCAAATCTCCCACTTGGAGACAAAACAACAATTTCGCCTCCCACTGCAACAACAGTGTCCCTCATGACTCAGTTCTAACTGCACCAACAGCTTCTAACTGATCAACATCCTTTTAGCACCAACCAAGACTCAACTCTCATTACATCGATAGTTTCTTACTTCTTCTTAACACCAACCAAGGCTCCATCTGTGATTGCCTTGAGACTGAGCAATCTTACTTGGTCTTGTCTCCCAGACGTAAGAGACACAGCTACGTGTTCCCACTCGAACTAAGTGTTCTCAGACGCTTCCTTCTTCACTCTCACCCAACGACTCTTGAAAAAAAGCTTTTTCATTGATGACTTGTCACTCCCACCTAAGTCTGTTGCCACTCTCRAAACCTCACCATCGACCTCAGCACCCACTGTAGTCTTTCTCCTTGATGTACTCTTTCGCCTTCACGACTTCATTAGCTAGCTAATCTGCTTGAAAACTGGGGCTTTATCCTGACAGTCTACTAAACACCTCATTGGGTTGTTCCCCTTTCCTTTTCCTCTACTTCCCAACTGTTGTACTTGAACTGATGACAGATTCTTCTTATCTGTTCTGACTATTAATGTTGCTAGTTCTTTCAAGTCTCCCCCTGAACTATCTACAGCCCTGTGCATAACTTGTCTCTCTGATCCTCTGGCAACGCCAAACCTTAACACATATATTGAAGCTTTTCTGTGGCCAACAACCATTACCTCGGATCCCCTCATGAGTTTCCATCTGTTCTCTGCAAACTCACTTCTGTAGCCTTCGTCATCCAGCTTCCCCGCTGATATCAAATTCATCCTGAAATTGGGTACATACTTCACATCATGTAGTATTAACTCGGTCCCACTGTAAGTCCTCAGACAAACATCCCCAAGTCCTCTGATCTTGGAGAGTCTYCTATTTCCCATCCTCACCACGCGCCATGATTTCCTGAAGTAAAGGACATGAACCAACTTCTGTCTGAAGATACTTGTACCGAAGCTGCAYTGTCCACTACCCACAAGTGTGTGTTACCTTCAATACAAGCTAACACATCCGCTGAAAATCGACTGAAATCACTCCAAAATTCAATTGGGAAAAACCYTAAACCCGAAAACACGAATATATAGGCACCGACACAGCATCATAGCACTATCCAYGGCATCATGGCACTACGGACGAACAGACGCCCCCACGCGCCCACCGGGACAGCGCCATGGTGCTGCACTTTCGGCCCCTTTGGCCTGCAGCATCTGCTTTCTCCTGTTTTCATCCCACTTCAATCCCAACGCGTCCTAGCTTGATCCTGACTCATCCTTAGCTCGTTCCGACATCATTTTGAYTCCACCAATCCTAACAGATTTTGGTATTTTGAGCTCACCATAGCTTTAGAGCTCGAAAGAAAATTCYTACGTCTTTTGAATCATTCCAATAATTGGAGTCAAAACAAAGAAGTTTGGCCAAAACAAGATTGGGAGAAAAAATCATACGTGGCTTCATGACGTGGACAAACAGACTAATCATAATTTGACATGTGATAGTCATGTTTGATAATTTTAGGGGAGGAGAGAAAAAAGAAAGAGAATACATCAATACTAGGAATTGCATTTGATACAAAACCTAATAACCTATTTACACTCATAAAATATTGATCATCTAATCTCATATTATAATTCAAACAATATAATCTGAATTATATCTCATTCAAATAACACAACCATAATCTAATAATATAATCTAACATCCCTTCTCAAAACTCATGATATGAGTTTGAGAAATAACATCAAAGTCAATGCCAATAACTTCGATGCGTATGCCAATGCGAATGTCACCAATGCCGATGTCAAATCCAAAACCAATTCTATACCTAAAACCAAAACCAAACCAAAAACCAAAACTAATGCCAATATCAATGTCAATGTCAAACTAAAACCAAATCCAATGTCAAACTCAAAATGAATTGCAAAACCAAAATCAAAGCAAATTCCAACAATCAATACCAATGACAAAACCAAAATGAATTCCAAATGTAACGCCCGACTAGAATGAACCGATACCACATCTGAATGAGAGGAATCCTGAGACCATAGAAAGTATGGTTAACAAAGCTTAAAAGAAATGATAGGTACTACCTATACTAACAAGGTGCCCCTTCTTTCTCGGTAACTTAATTGTAAAAACTCCAAAGTTAAGCGTGCTTGATTTGGAGCAATTTTTGGCTGGGTGACGGGAGCCCGCATCTCCCTGCTACGAGCACTTTTTGTTCAAGCACTTTTTGTTCAATTTTGAGATCCATCCACAAATTTCGTAATGACTATTAGGCTTGCCCATCACTCTTGTTCGACCCCCGAGGATTCCTCCCCCACACAGCTAAGTTTTCATGGCTCTGATACCACTTGTTAAGGACAACAGTACTCCTCGTACCTCGAGTATCTCCACAATGATATGATATTGTCCGGTTTGAGCATAACCTTCACGACTTTGTTTTTTGTTCCACCAAAAGGTCTCATACCAATGGAGATAATTGTATATACCATGGATCACCCATTTCCMTAGCCAATGTGGGATTTTGTTTGCACTCCTTACAAACCCAACGATCCTTGTTCGGAAATCAAGAATCATGTACAATTTTCCCTTCCACATAAAATACCCAAACACAACCACTATATGCAAATAGGAATAATTGTGACACACGCGCAGCGCTTTGATCCTGATAACTTGGGAAAAAAGCAAAAATCTTTTTCCTCCTGGCTGTTAACGCAACTTAGGAAAGATGATAGCTCCATAAACTACAAGGTCAAACGCAATATTGAATGCAATCTTCTCTCTTTCATTTTCCAAGAATGAAAAAGAAGCTTCTATCAATATCGTCTCGCCTCCCTGGTTCACTACTAAGTGCTACGTCCAGTTTCCAATATTCCCTAAAGGTCCCAACAAAAGTCTCCTAACTTCTAAGTATTGTAATACAATTAATAYTTAGGAACAAGAATGAAAAGAAATCTTACAAAAATCATGCCCACGACACACTACAACCCAAAATTTTCTTCTCTGCCAAAGCCTGACACCAATTTCTCCACAAAGTGCCGCCACCCACGTTTTCTCTGTGTTTCTCTTCTCACGGCACAACCTAAGAAAAACAACACGTATTTATAATGATGACAAGTTTATGGACTTTGTATTTTTGGCCCGTTGCTTTGATTTGGCTCCATATCCAACACAAACCTAATAACCTAATTATTCTAATAGAATATGATTAAAATAGTTTTTTATCTAATCTCATATCATAATTCAAATGGTAAATAAATCTAATTTAAATAATCTAAACTATATCTAATTCAAATAACATATTCATAATCTAATAATAATATAATCTAGAATTGACGTGGAATTGATGTGGTGCTTCAAGGATAATTTTTTTATGATGCAGTAACTACTATAGCGTCGTTCAATGGTCAAATTTTACTCGATGATGTAAACTAATCAAGTGATGACACATAACAACTTTACTGACATGTTAGCATGCAAGTGGGGTAACGCAAGGGGGCATGGACTAATATTAATACACACTCAAAGTCATGTCATCAATTTATTAACCATTAAATGACATAACAACCACAAAAACTAAAATGCATATTTTAATGGTTTATGATTAAAAATAAATAGGTAAAGGATGAAGAACCAAAATAAAATAGCCAACGAGCTTAAGGTTAAAACACTA